CCTCTGTTTATATGCACATATGTCTTGTCTAACCTCATTACTGTTTGTCTGGTTGTTGACGTCTTTCCATCAAAAGTCGAAACATTTAAATTGGTCGGTTGTTCTTCTTTTCATCAGTCATTTGGCCATAACAAAACTTCGTAAGTTAAATAGGCTAGGCCTAGACCAAACCTAGGCCTATGCTACCTATAGGCCTAGGCTTAGCCTAGCCTAGGCCTAATAGTAATAGGGGTCTATCAGATAGATAGACCCCCAGGCACCCGCCCGTAGCCTGGCCCTACGCCTAGGCTAGGCTTACTTTAAGCAAAATTAATTAAATTCGTTAAGGCCAGCCTAGACCTATAATAGGAAGACTTCTTGGGCACTGATCAGTCACTGTCTTCTGCTAGAATATTTTGACAGAAAACTTGGAAATGTAGACAAAAAAAGTTTCTTTTCATATGTACCTCTAGCCTAGGCATAAGCTAATAATACGCTTGACAAATGTAGGCCTATGCCTAGAAATTATATCCAATATGGCATATCAACAAAGTAAATATAAAACAGAAACATAATCCTGAATAAGACAATCTATGCCCATGTCATTAACCTCAACCTGATATTATTATTAATTAACCAACTGGGTAAGGGAGTGTTCAGAAATACTTGTTGTTGGGGAAGGGGCGAGGGTTTCTAAGTAATGTGGAACAAAATCCTTTTAGGTCCTGAAAAATGAATCGAAAAATAAAATTGCACTTAAGGAAGGGGATAAATACAATTAAGAAATATTATCTTTTCTACATATAACTTAAATAAGACTGATAATTTTAGATGCCCTCTAAGTGCTTTTATGGTAAAACTTCCCGAAACGTTATGGTATTTATGGTAAAATTTTTCCGGAAGTTTTACCATAAAGGCTACGATTTGAATTTAAATGATGTTGAGTGCCATAGCTTCTGATGAGTTGCACTCCTAAATTTGGTATAAAAACATACATTATATTTATAATTAAGCATTGCTCTATCTGGAAAATAATTTCCTGCCTTTCTTCCGTTACTTTGTTTTTGTGTATTCATTGATATAAATTTAAAAAAATACTTTGAACATTTTCTTAGCATTGTTTTAATCTTTCATTCAAACTAAAGGAAAGTAATTTGACATGGACTAAATTTGATTGTTAATTAATGGAAAATTTGGCATGTAAAATAAGTTCAACATAGAAAATATTTGACCTTGGAAAGTTTGAATGTATATTCCATGCTTATCCGTGGTTCACTTACTTTACTACTTAGTTCACCTGTATACCAAGGCCTATGATGTGCCTTCTTTATCCAAGTGGCCTTTACCTACCAAGTACCTGTATTACCACATGATGTGGAAGATCTTTTGAAACAGCAGGACAAGTCGGTGTTGCCAAGGCAGTATTATCGTAAGATTATACAAAGTTTATTTGAAGACATGATACAATTTACTCTGTAAGTATTTAACCTGATTATTATGTTTTTGAGTACTACTTAATTTTTTACTACTGTACTAATTTGATGCAGTTTCCTCTTTCCAGACCTGCTTCTGATTACCAATGACTTTCTCATTGATTCAGTTTATTACCTGGGCATCTTCACATTTAGTACTATAAAAAGTAATGAAGTCTACTATAATGCATGCACTGTCAAGAGGGTTTATTGCTAAAGCTTCAAAATACTTTCATTCATCTATTTTAACACTATTCTTTCCATGTTTATTCACTGATTGTTAATCTTGATACAGTAATTTTTCCCCTTGCACCTTTTTTTTTGTAGATATCCAACAACAGCTGAGTATACTGGGGTAGCCAGAGCTAGTTACCAAATTTAAGATCTTAGAAGATAAATCTGGAAATTCAACAGGACATGTAAGCCATGTTAAAAATTTTACATACTGAAAAGACAGATTACAGCAAAAAAAAAAAATTTGAGTCAAATTCTGGGGTAGATTAAGGGTGATTTCAAGCATGATGTCATCAAGGTATTTAGACTTTGTGTATCAGAACATACAGTACATTGTAATAATGATTAAGTACCGTAGCTACTGCCATTTAGTATAATTAATAATTGTATGCTGTCGTCTGAACAAAATAAGAGTTAGTCAGACAGATGAAATAACATTTTTGTACTCGCATATAACTCTATGACTCTTTTTTGTAGTCTCACAATAGAGATGTTGGTGGTTCAAATTCTTATAGCTTTTTGGGAAAGCACATACAATTGGTACAAAAAGTAGATTTATGGTATAAGATTACATTGATAATGTAAAATATGGTATAAGGCCTATCTACTTCATCCCAATCACCTTATTTTCAGGTAAAAATCATATACTGGCACAAATACGGCACAGAACTGCACCTTTAAAGTGGCACTGTCCCTTAGAAAATTGTAAAATCATAAAAAATCGAATTAAAAAATTACTGTACTATGTACACATAATGTAATCACCTTAAAGATGAAACATATCGTAAACCACAATAGTTATTATAATATATAACAATATTAAATACAATAAACAATAAAATTGCTAAAAGCAAGAGGGTCATTCCATGCCAACTCAACCAGGGGCTCCACGGTGACCGTCTTGGATTTTGCTAAAATTTTAACCAAACAAACTTTGAGGGGTATTATGAAAAATCCCGAAGTTTCGTTGAAAAATTCCCAAGCGTTCCGAAGTTACGGCACTTTGAAATTTTTATGACACGCCCCTTTTTGTGACTCGCGAAGAGCAGCAATATCTTGCTATGGTTTTTGAAAGGCAATATTTTCATTTTTGGATGCACTAGAAAGCTGAAAATTACTACTCTGGCTCAGTTTTGCCCCTACTTTCAGATTCTGGCATCAGAATCAAGTTCTGAATAAGCATTAAAAAGTTACGAGCATTTCAAAATCAATTTTGTTTGGGCAAAATCAATTATTTTAAGATTTTGAACTTACGCTGTGTGGTCAACTATAGGCTGAGACCAAATATATTTTGGCAAATGGTTATTTGGGATATAAACTATAGCCAAATGGAAGATTATTCCAATCAAACATCAAATTACAGATTTATGAC